GGGGCTTCTCACTGGCTGGCTTTCAGGACACAGCCAGGCCTCTCTTTCACAACGGTCTGCTGAAAGCCTTCATCATCGCCGGAGCACACAGGCCCCCTGACAGTCGGCACGCCGGCCAGGAACTGAACTCGGCCTCCCGGTGGGGAGAGGCAAGGGCCCTGGCCACTGTCCCCCCACGATGGCCCATTGTGGCCTTGCTGGCAGCAGGGGCAGGGTCCCTCCAGGGGAAGCAGAGTCCAATGCAGCCCAGCTGCACATGGGCCTGGGCCCCCTCTGCCTGGCTGAGTCTCAGGTCCCCCTCTCTGATGAGACCATGGAGCAGAGAGGCTGCTGGGAAGCTGATGGGGGGGGGGGGGGGGCGGAGAGCCCAGCCTGACACAGCGTATCCTCCCTCCAGTCACCCCATATGAGGGACAGTGGAGGGCAGGGGCCACAGTCTCCCCCCATCCCCCAGGCTTCCCCAGCCCGGGATTGGTGCAGTGGTCCCACAGGGAGGGCAGGGCGTCTGTCTGTGACACGTGCCCACACCCTCCGTGTGCTGGCCTGGCTGAGGGCGGAAAACAGACATGACTCGGGTCCAGCGGGACACGCTGAAACACAACAGGACTCCTTTTTATTTGATCTCCAAGGGCATGCGGCCGTCAGGGGAGGCGGCGAGAGGGCTCTTCCCTCGGGCAGCTGTGGACGGCCGTTCCCCTCGGGTCTCAGGCTCCTGTCCTGAACCACCACCTCCCCGCCCCTGCCCCACCCCCCACCCCCAACCGCTGCCCGAGTCAGCCCTGGACTGACAGGCTCGGCCGGTGTGCCCTGCCCCCAGCACCCTGTAGCAGCGGGGCCTGCACGGACAGGGCACCTAGGGGTGGGGGGGCCACGGTCCCACCCAAAAGTTCCTTCATGCGGACACAACAGCCCCTGGGCCCCACGGAGTCCAGGGTGAAGCCTATGGCCAGACTCCCCCGGGGGGCCACCCCAGCCCTCACCAAGGCTCCGGCCAGCTTCTGCGGGGACAGGCCAGCATCCTGTCCAGCATGGGAGTCGTTCCCAACCCAGCAGGGCAGACACCCTTTCTCTTCCTACAGGGGCGACCCAAGGTGGTGGGGAGGGGGCGGGGGTCAGGACACACCCGATCCGTCCTGGGCCAGGGGCGTCTCAGGGCCGGGGGAGTCAGGGCTGGCTTCGGGGAGGCTCCTGTCCCGGGGGGCCCCCCGGGCGTAGCCGTTGGGCCTGCGCTCAGGGCGGGGGGCACTGCCGTTGGCCCACAGGCCCAGTGAGTGGCTATGGGAGCGGCGGCCAGACTCGCCGTCCTCACCGTCAGTGGCCCGGGCACTGGCCCCGGAGGCCTTGTAGGGCTCCGGCCGGCGCAGCACGTGGCTGCGGATGATCTTGCGGAAGGTGAGGCGGAACTCTCGGATGCGGTAGGCGTAGATGAAGGGGTTGACCACGGAGTTGGTGTGGGAGAGCACAATGGCCAGGTACATGAGCCAGGGGGGCGCGTGGGCGCAGTCGGGGCAGAAGAGGGTGAAGCAGTTGATGACGTGCAGGGGCAGCCAGCAGAGGACGAAGAGCCCCACAATGATGGCTAGCGACTTGGCCGCGTGCACCTCCTTCTGCAGTGTGGAGCGCGCCCCCCGCTCACCCGGCGCCGGCTGGCTCTCCATCTGCTTCAGCTGCCGCCGGGCGGCCAGGAAGATGCGCAGGTAGACGGCCAGCATGAGCAGCAGGGGCAGCAGCACGCAGGCGAAGAAGTTGTAGTACACCATGTAGCCCATGGGCACCACCTCCTCGAACAGGCAGGCCACCTGGCCCGGCCCGCAGGCCTGCGAGAGGTTCCGGCCCTCCTCCGGGACACTGCAATGGTTCCAGCCCAGCATGGGGGTCAGGCCGATGGCGAAGGACAGCACCCAGCAGATGGCGATGATGCCCTTGGCCCGGGCACCTGTCACCAGGCCGTTGTACCTGGGGGAGCAGGGAGTCAGCCTCAGGGGGTGCCCCAGGATGAGGTGGCCGCCCCAGCCCACCCCCCTCATGCTGACTCACGGCAACCCGACAGAGAAGGGAGAGCCCCCCCCACGCCCGGCCCACCGTGGGTTTCTGAGATGGTAACTCTTCACGGGAGTAGAGAGCCCCAGCGTTCTCCCTCAGAGCAGCTGATGGTTTTGAACTGACAACCTTGTGGTGTGCGGCACATCATGCGGGCTCCCATGCAGCCCCCATCCCCACGGCCATCTAGCTCATTCCGAACAGGACAGGGTAGAACTGTCCCTGTGAGCTTCCAAGGCTGCGGATCTTTACAGGAACACGGACGCTCATCTCTGCCCCACAGGGCAGCTGGTAGCTTCGAACTGCTGCCCTTGCGGTGAACCACCACTGTGCCACCCGGGCAGTGGGCCCAGCCCTGCCTCATCAGGTCCCTGTGGGGAGGGAGGTGGTCGTATTGGTGGAGGGGGGCTCTGGGAGGGCAGTCAGGCCCCTGTGTATACGTTCTTTCTCTCCTGTTGGAATTGGGGGGCTTCCCCAGAATCTCACAAGGAGAGAGCACAAGGGGTGAGGTGCTAGGAAGGACCCGGGGCCCCAAGCCAAATGAGATGCCTCCTGGGTCCTCCCAAGCCCACCCACAACACACACACACACACACACACACACAACCCCAGGAGAAAGGAGGGGCTGAAATGGTCCCCCCCATGGGGCAGTTCTGACATCTAAGTGGGAACCCTGACCCCAACCCACTTCCATGCATCCCTTCTGACCCAGCAGCACCCAATGGGACAGGGTGATGCACCCCCCTGGGGGCCCCCGAGGCTGTCAGTCTTCACAGGGGCAGACAGCCTCCTCTTTCTCCTGAGGAGCAGATGGCTGGTGGGTTAGTCGCCAAGGCTTAACCCACTGCGTCACCAGGGACCCTTGAACCACGCCCACTGCCCCTGAGCGGGTTCTGATGCCCAGCAACCCCGTAGGGCAAAGTAGGACTGCTCCCTGGGGTCACAAAGGCCGGTGCGCCTCATCTCCCGCAGACCTGCCCCCCAGGGTCTCCACAGCTGTCAAGCTTTACGGAAACAATCAGCCTCATCATTCTTCCTGGGAACGGCTGGTGAGCTTGAACCGCCGACACTGCGGTGAGCAGCCTGATGCCAAACTCACACTGCCACCAGAGAGGGATCCTGCAGGACTCCGGTGAGCTGACCCAGCTCTGGGCCCGCCAGATTCAGACCAGCTTCCCATCTCAGACTCCTCCAGGGGTGCCTTGAGTGGGGGCTGGGAGCCAGAGACTCCCAGGAGGGGCGGGCGCCTGCCAGAGAGTGGCCACTTGGAGGTAGGGGCACCCCACCACTGACCCGGGCCACCCCCTAGCTCTGTCTGAGAAGGGTGACACCCCTGTGTCTGCCTGCACCAGCAGCCGGGACTTGGGGTCCAGGGAGGACGCGGGGCATCCTCGCAGCCACTCTGACACACGGGAACCCACAACAGGTGACTCCCTTTCTTGTTTGCGCGACTCAGTCCTGGGACTGGGCAAGCCCAGTCTGGGCAGCAAACCTATGTCCAGGGACGCAGGCTGAAACACGGAGAGGCCTGCCCTCCCCACTCCCTCCCGCTCCCTGCCACCCCGTCCACTCCCACGCTGAGCCCCCCTCCAAGGTAGGTTCTAATACTGTGCCCCTGTGCGGTTCTGACTGCGAACCTTGACAGGAGCCGAAAGCCTCGTCTTTCTCCTGAGGGGCAGCTGGTGAGTTTGGGGCTGACCTCGTGGGCTGACCCCGCCCCCCAGGACTCCCCACTCTGGGTATCGTTCAAGACAGCCCGCAAATGCAAATGATGATCAGTGACCACACGCCAGTGGCTGCTGACCTCTGACCTAGCCAGCCCCCGAAGTTCACAAGTTGGGGCAGCTGCAGTATGGGCACAAGACCAGGCTGACTCTTCGGACACTCCCCGGTCCCGAGGGGGATAGGACAGAGGCTAGCGTGCCCTCTACAGCTATTCTTGGGGAGGATACACCTGCCCGGGGCCAGGGGCCTCCCAGGCGAGGACACAGCCCCTCAGTGGGCCAGCCCAGGGAGCCCGCAGCAACCCCCTGCCCTGCGATGTCACAGCTTCCCCATGACTGGAGCTTATGTGGCCCCGACCAGGGCAGACAAGGCTGTCGGCAAACAGTCACACCCAGGCCCCCTCCCCTCCGCCCATATGGCAGGGCCCTGGGCAGCACCAACAGTCTGCGCTCCACTGCCGGCCTGGAGGCTGGAGGGTCAAGTCCAGCCAGCGGCTGTGCAGTGAAGAGGTGGCGAGAGATGATGGCCACCGGCACCTTCCACCCCATCCATCACCACAGGGGTCTCTGAGACTCAGACTCTGGAAGGGGCTTGGTCCCTGGGCCCCGTGGGCCCCGACTTTCCCCTCTGGCCCTCAAAGCCTCCATTTCCTCGTTTGTAAGGCTGGGACCCAGACTCTCTGCCCTGCGGGGCCTGTCCCTAGTCAAGGGGCCCAGTGCAAACGACAGCGTCTGTCTGTCTGAAATGGCAGAACGAGGCGGGGCAGGAAGCCGGGCGGCTGGGCCTCTCCCAGAAGGAGACCCCGAGAGCTGCCCGCCGGGGGGCACGCACACTTCCTGTAGGGACGGCTGATCATGGAGGTCTCCCAGGCCCCGGGGAGGGACCTAACGGGGGGAACCCACCGCATGGATGTGGTGGGCTGGACACTCCCAGTGGCCTCGCAGGACAGGCCCTCCCCCCAGGGTGACCAAGGCTGCCGGTCTTTACAGGACAGAGCAGCCTCACGGGGCCATACCGCTGGCCAGTGCTGAGACCACTGCTCCCCCCTGTAAAGATCAGCCAGTGCCACTGGGGAGCCACAGCGGCCCTCGAGGACAGAGCCTAGATGTCGCTGTCCCCTAGGACTGTCCAGGCTGTCAGTCTCTATGGGAATGCAGGGTCTTGTCTTTCTCCCCCAGGGCAGCTGGAGGGTTTTCACCATGGACCATTTGGCTGCAGACCAGAGCTTAACCCACGGTGCCACCAGGGACACTTTTCCCAAAAAACACTAAAACCAAAACAACGTCACTGCCATGTCGTTGGAGGTGACTCACGGCAACCCCGTAGGACTGGGAAGACCGGCCCCTGTGGGCTTCCGAGGCTGTAACTCCACAGGAGTAGAAAGCCTCATCTTTTTCTCTAAAGTCAGTGGTTTCAAACCGCCGACCTTTGGGCTGGCAGCCTAGTGCCTAATCCGCTGTGCTACCAGATCTGTTAACTGTGGGACCAGCAGTGGCTGTGCCTGGAGGGAGTCCCAGTGTGCCTTTGGGGACCAAGGGGACCAGGGCACTTTCTGCCATCCTCCCTCCATCCCTCTCTGGTGTATTACGTGGAGTGATACTGAATTTTTAAAAATATAGACTCATTTTTTGTGATTGGAACAAAAGCTCCTGAAACTGTGATCTGAGTCCCAGACACAGCCCTGGACCCTTAGCGTTTCCCGGGCCTCCATCTCCCCAGGGTCCATCTTGTCCCTCCAGAAGGGACATCCAGGCCACCAGCATGCCCCTGCTGCTCCAGGCCCACCACAGTGGGGTGGACATGGTGGGGCAGGGGTCCCTGGTGTCACATGCTCTGAGCCACCCCTGGGAGAAAGTGGACCCCAGTCGTCCTCTAGAGCTATGATCCTGAAGCAAAGAGTCACCTGCCCAATGCAGGCAGAGCCAGCTCGATGGCTCCCTGCAGTGCCACTGCCTCCAGGATATCCTCCCCGCCTAGCCTGTGCCTTTGAAGGCAGGGGGTCCCCACACTGCCAGCACCCCAGGGCAGCACCTCTGGTCACTGCCTACCCTGCCTCTTTCCCCACAAGTTCCCTGCTATTTTCCCCAAATCCTCATGACCCGTGTAGGTGCCTGGGACAGAGGTGTCCCCATGCAGAGGCACCGAAAGGGGCCCCCTATCACAGCATGTCCTCTGGGGCATGCCAGGGCAGGCATCCTCAGGAGCTGGGCTCTGCTCCTCTCCACCAGCACCCAGAGGTGAGCCTCACTGACAGCCCCGGCCCCTTCGGGCCTCCTTGCTCTCAGCTGTCACTGGGCCCCATCCCCAAGGAAGGGCCAGTGACACCCCCCACCTGTCCTGCTCTGACGACGTTCTAGCCCGCCCAGAGTCCTGGGAATGAGAGGTGCTGCCCAGGGGTCCTGGGAGCTTGCAGTCATGAGGGTGGCCAGCAAGGGTCTTCCAGGACGCAAGCCCAGCCACACCCTCCTTCCCCAGGGGCC